AAATCTTCCTTCCTTCCCTCCCTCCCTCCCTCCCCCTCCCCTCAACAATATGAGTTGCTCCGATTTCCTATTTGTGGGCTTCCTAGATGCATCTGGTAGGCTACTGTGGCCTGGACCTGCTTGAATGGGGCTACGTCACATTTTCATCAATGAAGTTTTATGGTTCATTCATATGGTAAGGGTTGTGTCAAGAGAAGGGGGAAGATATTGTCCCCATAGCAGGCTGGGAATGAGACAAAGGCAACATCATGAGGACATGACAGTTGGTGGGGCACCTTTGTGTTGCAGTTAGCAGGATGTCAGGATGAGCTATTTTTTCCCTTTTGGGGACAGTTTTCATAATGAAGTTTTATGTTGTCCTTTGTCCTAGTGTCTCAATAAAACTGTTAATTTTTCTTATAGTTCTTGCATTTCTGTTATTCCCTTTTGAACCTTACAAAAGCGCTCCTATTCCTAGATTTTGACAATTTTGTACACCGTATTCTTCATTGCTTTGATTAAAAGAGCTAGTTTCTGCACAATTATTGGAAAGCAGCAAATAGAGCTGGAGTAAACCATGTTCAACATACATTCACCAGCATCTTAACATCCCAAAATCATACCACTGAAATTTTAGCAGCAAAGTGGCAGAACTTTGGTAATGTAGTTTCTGTGTTAAGATGGAGAAGTGGAAATGCAAGGCATCTGGACTGTGAAATCCTCTAACTCCCTTCCGAAAATCTCATGATGCTTCATGTCCATCAGTAAAGAGGCCAAAATCCAGAGGCACTACCAAGTCATTGGAAGTTGTTCTGTGATCTGCTAGCAGGTCAGACGACTAAGTCACAAATCCTAACTTTTACAGTAAAGGGTGGACAAAGTGGGACAAAGATCTATTAGGCTTGTGATGGGCCAAAATAGTGAATTATTTTGGCAGGAGTGCAAGGACTGTGATAGGTATGGTGATGATGCAAAGTGGATTGGACATTATGCTTCTGGGCAGAGCTGGGAATTTCAGGGGCTTGATAGAGTGTCTTCTCCTTTTTTTAAAACCCCACCCTCACTCCCACAGTATTACCAGTTTTCAGTATACGCTTCATGGTTGTTTCCTGTCTCAATATGATAGGAAACCAACTTTCAGTGGAGAAGTTAAACAAAGGTCCAGGGTTTGCAGACTGACCACTCCTACCCTAACAGAGTCACCCTCCAGGGGAGATGGATGGCATACAAATTTAATAAAGAAACAAACATGTTGAATTTAAATTGCCCCAAGCATTTGCTCAGAAAGGGATTACATGCAAACCTGAAAATTTCAAAAATCCTTAAAATATGATACATATTCAATGCTGAATGTGATACCATGGATGAAAATACCTTGAAAAGAATTAAAGATGCCGAAGCTTTTTTCTAAAAAGATATTGAAAGTGACATTGCTGTAACTACAACAGTACCTTTTAAAATGAGGTTTTCCTTTCTCATGAGGCCAAACAATCCACAGTAAAAGCCACATATGTTTCTACTAACAGGTGGATCTAAACTTTGTTAAAAGATACAGCCAATTTCTTTGTCAAAGGCCGCATCCCATTGACCTGAAAGCATTGCTGTACTAGAAACCACTTGAGGAAGCACTCGAAAGACACGCAAGGGACAGCTACTGGGTGGAGATCATCCTCCTCTCTTCCTATGCACGTGTCTTTCTCTCCTGGGGCTGTTGATGAATTGGATCTTGCCTAGAAAATATGTAATGCACCACACCAGTAAGCATTTTAGCATTTCTTAAACCTGAAATGTACAGATCCCTTGTGCATTAAATTCAGCTTTAAAAAAAAAATCATTCTTTTGTTCGCTGCAGTCTTCCTTCACGTACAACATCTAAAGTATACCAAGATTTATTGGTTTCCAAAATCCAAGAAATATTTTTATACAAGTGTTGGGATCCCCTCCCAATCCTCAAAAAGAAGGAATTCAAAACCAAAAGAAGGGGAGGGGGAGTTTCTTCATATTCAGGATTTCATTTATTTAAGAAGGTTCAGAAGCAGGCTGGAAACAGTGTAAGAACCAGTTTCATTTTTATTTTTCTTTTAAATGTGATTATACACATTCATGTGTCTACTAAAATTCTGCACTATTACATTAAAGATACAGTACGGTAACATTCGATTTGAGGTACTTGTATTTATATATGTCCTTCATAAATAATGCCATCGGTTGCTATAGTCAAGCACTGTTCCAAATACAGCTAGATGCAATTGTGTCTGAAATAACGGAGTTTAAATTTTTCATTTTTTAAAAAAACAGTGCAATAGGTACTGTAGAAATTAGAATATTTGCTTAAATAATATGTCAAATCAGCTCAAAATATATTACACTAGAAATTCAGTAATAACTTACTTTCCCCTTTCAGTACAGCTTGCAAGATGATACTCAGAATAATTTCAATAGTATCTATATTTTCTCTTTATCTCAGGTCCTTTTGTTTTAGATAAACATATTGGATGGCTCCAGAAGACTAAACCAATATATTATAAATATATTATCTTAACAATTTAGGGTGTGAACTTTCTATTAAGGGTGCAAAGCCCTAATTTGGGGACAATTCTGTAATCCTGCTGAGTTAGTTCTGCAGTACAGTTTGATGCTGGAAGTCTTCTCTTTCTGTCCACAATCTACACAAGGTAACATACTTGAGTTTAATGAATCTAATTTAGCTTTGATACTAACAGAGTACAGGGTCAAAGTTAAAATACCTGATCCATTGCTGCCAGCAAAACACCAGATGATGGAAACATATTAAGGACCACCCAGTTCAATAAACACTCCCTCTCCAGTTCAGAAATGTATCCTGCATTCAGAAGGATACTGAATTAAATGAAGTACAGGTAACTACATTTGTTTTATTCTATTTGGCAAGGAAGACGTAAGTACTCAAAGCTCTTATCAAGTTGCTTCCTGGGGGGACCAACAGACCCAAGGCTAGATAAATAAATACAGTCCTAAAAGTCGTAATTATCACCTTCCTAATACCATTGCTATTCATACAATTAAATCATCTTATCAATTATAAATTTCATTATATTATCTATAGAACAAAATTTGAAATTTTCTTCTTCTGTAACATGCGAAGAAAACATTGGCTTCCTTCTTACTTTTTTATGTGTTCAAAAGCCAATACATATACAAAGCCCAGTCCAGGTAGCATCTTCCTAATCAGTATATTAGTACTCAGACTTTTCATTCTGATTTGACAGCTACTTCAAATAGTCATTTATCTTAACAGCCTCCCAAAGGAGATCTGCTTGGCCCCATTATAGCTTGCTTTTAGACTGGTAGTGAAGTCGGTTTTTATTCCATCCGAGTTTTTACAAAATACCCCTTTAAAGTTGTCATTAAATGTTGCTACTACCTTAGTTCTAATTTTCTCAATATTTCCTAATATTGAATATATGCTATTTTAGAATTTAGAAAGGCAGGTTATGTATGCTGAAAATAATTAATTAACATTAGGAGTCTTTCCAGATTCAACTACAATTTTGAAAGGCATTAAAACTGCAAAAACTCATGCAATACACACTAAATAGTTTACTGTTTAAGACTGCAGCTCAGCACACTTACCTAGGAATTAATCCTAGGTAAGTCAGCAAAAATGACTTCTGAACAGACATATGTAGGATTGCACAGAGAGGCACTGAACATCAGAAAAAATACACTCTACTGCACAGATTTCTTAGCTTATTCAGGATCTTGTGAAAATCACAAATGTTTTAGTTCTCACAGTTGCAGTTGTGAAAAAGTATAAACACTTTTGCAGCATTGCACTTGAAAACAAGTCATTTAAAAACAAAAAGCAATATAGTAATTGTAAATCAGATTTAATACATTTAAAACTTTGAACTCATCTCATTTTTTTTTCCATTTGGGCTTCTACAGTCCTCCTGTACAACTTAGCTATCTTACTTGTGTTCTATTTCTTGCAGACCTGCCTACTGCTCCATCTATTTCTCAGGAGTAATTAATATCCTACTTAATTTTACCGCAAAGTAGGACATGCATGTGGCTATCATTTTTGACATATGGTGATACATGCAGGTTTTACTGCCATTACATGTGTGGAATAAAGGAAATGATACACTGAAATGCAGTGAAGCCCTGAACATAATTTATAATTGCACTATTATATGAGAACTGTTTATAAAGGTAAGCTAAATATTTATCCATATTTATTCTGGCAAATTGCCTACTTTGTAATCAATTATGGGAAAAAGCAAAGAAGGAAAGATTCAATACATGTCTGTGGCCTTCTTAAAAGGGAGGGTGAGCTGTGCAACGTGGTGTCAGGGACAATTAATTCATTTCTCTCTTCAGGAATGATTGTGACTATACTAATTCCAGTTTCATTGTTCATCATCCACAAATGTCTACTGGAAATACAACAGATTTTCCAGAATAAAACTGAGACCTTTCAAACATCATGTGCTTCAATGGGGTAAAGCTAAGAGTAGCAGTGCGCAGATGCCATCTAGAGGCTGAGAGGGCACAGGGCAACTGATGTGACCTAAGTCTGGAAACTGGCTCTATTTCATCTTAAGGTAATGCCAGCAGTCTTCCTTAAACCATGCCATTCACTGTGTTTTTATTTGGCCTATCTGAAACATCTAAAACCTAATTAGGTAAGGGGAAAAAAACCCTACAAGAAGAGTTTTTTCTCCCAAATTATGGGAGAAAGGGCTTTTATCTGGCCCTTCCTCCAAGGACCTCAGGCAATATGCATGATCTACCAAAATATATCCTCACATTGGCACTGTGATAAAAGTTAGATTGAGACTAACTTTCTCCATAAGAACTCAGGAATATGGAACAAATTCTATGACTGAAAAGAACTTTGACCTCTGGTCCCTCTAGTCTAAATTCAGTATCTGAACCATACTTGGCTTTTAAGATGTGAAGATGCAATCCTTTACATTTCTTCAAAAAGCAACTCCCATTTAATCTAAACATATTTATACTTCTGAGAAATATAAGCAATTTTTTAAAATAATATCATTTGTGATAATAAAAGTACAGGAGATACAGAAGCAGCATTTGTTCTTAAAGGACAGCTTCTGACTTGTGGGTGTATTTTTTAATATGCTACATTGCTGACAAACTCTTACTGTCCAATTTTCTCATGTTCAAGTTGCAGCTCTAAATAGTATTTGGGGCACCACAGATATTTAATGGCACATATACAACCAGAAACCAGGATTTCAGCCTGTAAAAATATTTAGAGAGGCATTCTGCAAATGTTTCGGGACTATCAATGGTTATGCTGGCTGGGAATTTTGGAAGTTGTAGCTCGAATTCAACAAGAAGCCATCAAATTGGGAAAAGCTGATATGGGGTAGGGACTAGAGGCATCCACAAGGATGGGGGGGGGGGCAGGACAATGAAAGTAGTGTTGAGCCATCATGATGGAAGCCCCACATGTGCTGTGATGTTACATATATGGAAGTAGCAGAGCTTGCAGTCTGACACTGCCTTTGTCATTTTACTGAAAACTATAGATTCTCTGGATGCCTCAGGTAGAAACATTAACACAAAACCACAATTCTAATAGCTATGACAATAAAATGTTATGCTAAGGAGGTACACTGCAGTGGGAAACACTTATATTTACTTTATTTAAAAAAAACATGGAAGTGAAATTGCACATTCTTTTTGTAGACAGAAAACTGGGACAAATCAGTTTCAGACTAATACTATAAGTGACTTCCTAGACTGAAAGATTTAGGGGCTGCCTTTTTGAGACATGCCTTTAATTTCACAAACACGATGTTGTTCTGTATTATTCACCTATACTCCTTTTTCCTTCTCTTCTTTAAAACTATCTGCCAGCCTGCACCTTTTCCTGTTAGGAATGCACATAGTCCAACCAATTAAAAAAAAAAAAATCTGGAAAAGGAAACTTTGACTGACATCTGAAAGACCATCAAAAATTAAACAAGAAACATTTAAGTCACAAATATCCCTTCTTTAAAGACAAGGTTGACAGATCTGGAGGGTTACCAGTTCTGGGTTGCAAAAATCCCTGTTAGCATTTTTTGTTTGCTGCCACATGAAGTTTTGCAGCCCACATTTGATAGTCTTACTATGTGCTGCACAAAACAAACCAATAATTTACACTTGTGCTAAAAAGTATTCTTTTGTAGTTAGAGAGAGAACCACAAGCAGATTCACAAGCAATGCTAATGTCCACATTTACACTTAATGCTAAACTAGAAGTTTTTAAATTATACTCTGTTGAAGAAGCCACAGTGTTGAAACAAATATTACTTTGTATGAGCCTGGCAAATATCAGATCCCCTCAATAACTCTGCTGCAACCTGTGTTAGATTACAAATGTTAGAAATCCCTTTGCCATACTGGCTGGGGATAGTAAAAATTGTAGTGTAACACATGTGGAGGGAATCAGATTAGGAAAATTTTTAGCATCTAGAAATCTGAGAGATGTTTCAAAAATTTGTAATTGGGTGAATATTCATATTCTAATTGAACTGCATAGTATCTAGTCTATGTGCTCATCCAAAAACAGAGCTTTCAAACCTAGTTGCTTCTACCTGTTTAAATGTCCCACTAGTTGATTTAATTTGCAAAGCATTAAAATATTCAGCCTTGAGTTCAACGAGAAAAATGTCACTGCATGGTATACCGAATAAATACATTCCATTGCAATTTCTAATAATAAAATGCTCCAAACATCTGTATTTTTACTACTTGAAGAAAAATACATACATTTAAAACTGTATTTGGGCAAATAAAACTCACAAAACTCATTGCTTGCTTTTTGCTACACATTTTCTGACAGTGGAAAAAATATAGATGATGCTTGAAAGGAAGCCAGAATAATGGCTACTAGACTTGATTAAATGAAATACATTTAATCCCTTGAAAAGAAAAGTAACTATCAGAGAGATTTTGTAATGGTGTAAATGTCATTTATTTAATACATTAGAGCAGGCTCTCCTTCTGTGAAGGGCTTTAACTGCCATCATTCCCATCCAGCATGTGCTTTGAGGATTGTAGGCACTGCTCCAATACATCTGGAGAGCACCAGCTAGGGAAGGCTTCCCAAAAGTAATACTGAGGAAGCAAAAATTCATGAATGTATTCTAAACATCCAGAGTTTGCTTGAGGAAGAACTTTGTAGAAACGTTAAGATTAATTAAGAAGCAACGATGTCCCCAAAGACCTTGAGTTTTTGCTGCAGTCATCCACAACATAAACTAAATGTGAAGTGCCAGTATTTCCAAAGCAGCCCAGTGCAAACCAAACTTTATGTATTTTCCATTACTGTAGACTTCTCCATTTAGTTGTGTCAAAATCAAGGAGATCATCTCAATTAACCCACTTCTCTGATGTTCCCTCAACCAAACCTCAGCCCAGGCATAGTGGTGATGCTGCTGTAAACCAGCATCAAAGTGTGAGCTGCATTCAAACGGCAAGAGGCTAAAGCCACCTTTAATTCTGAGGTGTTCAAGAGGCCTACAGCATGGAGGAGCAAAAATAAATAAATCATAAATCAAAATGACAGGAAATAGCAGCAAATTAGAGACCCGAGAAGAACGTCCCTTGGAACACTGCATGGAAGGAGGACATCTCTTTGCTCCTTTCCCACTAATAAGGCATCCCATCTGTGCTAAGGCTGGAAATCTTTAACACTTAATTTGCTAGTTTGATCTTGGGAGCATCTAGTAGAAGAAATACATGTAGATGGTAAACAGTACAGCAAGAGTTAAAACTGTTCACTGCAGTTCGGAGTGTCCTACTTGTACTGACCATATATCTGCAGGCAACAAGCTAAGCATGAAATTGGCCTGAACCAGACACAATACATCATAGAATCACACAGTGCTCTGCGAACCCACCTTTTCCTTCAGGCATAAAAAATAAGTTCTGGAATTTGCCCTCCCTGAACCCCTGTGCCATTGGTACTGTCTGAAGAACATTGGAATTGCACAGTCACTTTACCACATTGGACTTCTGTCATTCCTTCTTGTCCAAAATAGCTGAGTTCATTACCATCCAAAATCACACTAGCTGTGTAAAAGGTATCTGGTTCGATTTGCACTGGGTACTCAAACCACACGGGGAAAGTATTGCTAGATCCATCTGAGAAATATTTGCTTAAGTTTTGTCCGAGGATAACACCTTGCCGTTTGAGTTCAATTTTGGCACTGTATTCTGCTGATCCGCAGCTGGAGCCATAGAGACCAAACCCAGCAATGAAAACTCTCTTGTCGACGGCAAACTGGATGCTGTCACAACGGCCCCTGTAGCGCCACTGGTTGCTGCGGTAGGCACATGACTGGAAGCGATGACAGCGCTGCGGGACCAGGCCTTTCCGGGCATTGCTCACAAACTGCAGCTCTGGTTTTTTGGCAGCTGTGTACCAAAGGAAGATATCATTTGTTTCACTGAGGGTCAGAAGACCAGACTGAGCAGCCCCATTGGCAAAGTCATCCAATGCCATTGTAGGTATGCGAATGAGATAGAGCGCCTTCCCAAGCACTTTGCGCTTATTTTCAATGCTGATGGGCAACTCCTGCCGTTGACACTCTATTTCAGCCCAGTTGAGGGCAGCTTCAAAAACTACAATCTCTTTGGCGTTCAGGGTCTCCCTTTGGAGAATGCTTTCAAGGGTTTGGAAATCAATGTCACAGAAGCCTTCCGATTTCAGAGCCAGCTCAGCTTGTGCATCGATCACTTCCCAGCAACGTTCAGTTAGGTCAGGTTCCTCAAACAAGCAGCTCTGGGAAAGCAGCACACAAGCATTTTTTGCACTCAGGCTCGTCTCTAGGAAATTCACACAGGCCCGGGCAAGATGAGGAACAATGTACTTCTTGGCAGCATAAAGAGTTGCCAGAACTGTATCAGCAGCCAGGTCAATTTCATCACAATAAATATATCTGTAATAAAAATATACATGTCATGCTAATTTCTAGCAGATAGGGGAAAAAAACACACATTTTCCTGCAATACTGAAAATAGAAAGAACATGTCTGGGAAACACTAATATATTCATTCAATCACAGCTTGTAAATAACAATTTAGGTTCCTGACCAAATAACACCCCCCCCCATTTAACGAATTCTTTATCATCAAAACCTGCCTGTAAGTGTAGAGTAATTTATAATCTTTGCTGCAAATCACCAGTAGAAGGCAAACTTTAATATTTTCTTTTTTCTTCCCCAGTACTGTAATAGATAGCTGGCTTGCATATATTTGAGCTATGGTTCTTTTGTAACTTTTCTAAACTCATTTAGGAAGCAACCATTATTTGTTTAGGCCACAATATAAAGAATTTAAATTAGTCTGAGGTTGTTTTACAAATCCAAGTTTCAGTTAACAGTAGTTTCTCATTACATCCTTAGCCACAATCTAATCCTGCTTTTTGTATCTCACCCTCACCTTGAGCCTAGGCACAGAGGCACGAAACAAATGCAGTTAGAAAATGAAACTAATCTCCTGTCTAACCTATCTAACCTAGCTTACCTGACAAGCCCATCTCCCTAGCTTTGAATGGTGGAAAATTTAAAGCGACCACTAGATAGATTTACCAACACCTAACTGGTCCGTTTACTGCATATATAGCTGTGATTCACCATGATAGCTATTATTTTTGGTGAAATAGGTTGGCGATGACCAATGTTAATTTCATGTGGCCACCATTATATCATACACAGCAGATTTTGCAGAGTGTATCTTACATGCCTGACAAATGAGCAGAGATTCTCAGGGTTAAGGACCTGTCAGATTAAAAAACAAACACACATATATTTATAGAGTTGCATGCTTGCATGGATGCACTAGCTATTGGTAAAAAAGGGAGGATTTATGATGATTATTATGGTGTTTTGTTTTTTTTTAGTAACATATAAGTCCTATAAATTCTGAAGGGAACAAGATGTTTTAAGATGTTGTTGCACAAATCTCCCCATGCATGGCTTCTTTTGCTGTATCAGCCAATAAAGGTGGTTGTGGGCCAACCATCTGAAGACCATAGCAACTGACTGGAAAAAAGGATTCTTCCACTTACTATCATGAACCTTTTGCATCAGTTTGGTGAAAAATGTCATGGTTCTGTATCTTGCTCTGTGTAAATCTCCATATAATGGTCCATGGTTATTTTAATACCCTATTTGCCCGAAAAGACGACAACGCTGAATTTAAGAAATTTCCCACCCAACCTAACAATATACAACTATTTAGATAAAAAAAAAAACTTGTGCAGTGCCGAACTTCCCCCCTTGTTAAACTTGGTTGCCAATTCCAGTTGAAATCAATCTTGGAGATCCTTCTGCCATAAATATGTGCATGTGATATTCTTGTATATGCATATATGTATCTATGTAAGTAGACCTGCCAAAATCTACATACCCTAAATAATACAAAAAATAAAATTTTATTAATTGAACTACAGGTAGTCCTTGGGTTACAATGGCAATTGGGACCTGGATTGCCATCACTAAACAATGCAGTAAAGCACAATGTCATGTGATCCATTGCTAAGTGACAACAATCCCAGCAGTCCCAGTTGCCGTCGTAACCCCAAGGTGTGTGGGTTGTTAAACGGGAAGTGGTGGGAGTCCCACGTAAGGAGCATGAAGGTGCCACAGGGGGATGTGGGAGGCCCGGTGCAGGCTGCGTGCGAGTTGGGGGAGGCTGGGGGAGGGGAATGATGTGGCACTGTGCGTGTGCAGGAAGGCCATGGGGTGGAGGGCATGGCACTGTGGGAGCGCAGGAAAGCCGGGGAGACTTACTGGAATGACTTGTGACCTTCCCTGCGGCTTCCCTATTGACTTTGCTTGTGGGACACCAGCAGGGAAGGTCGCAAATGGCAATCACGTGATCATGGCTCCCTGCAACATCGTAATTGCAAGCCAGGCACCTAAGTGCTCAGATTGCAATCACATGACCACAGGGATGCTGCAACAGCCAGAACTCTGAGGATCAGTTGTACGTCCATTTTTTCAGCGCTGCTGTGAATGGTTTGAATGGTTGCTGAATGAATGGACACAAGCCAAAGACTACCTGAAACAACTACTAATTAAGTTCAACTGCCTTTCAAATAAGATGTCCATTTACAAAATTAAATGATTCTCCCTCTGCATATATGAACATTCTCTCATGCAGAAACCATTCTCACACAAAGGACATACACAAATTCCTCCCTCCTTCCAAAAGGAAGATGAAGAAGAAATACAGGATGGAGATGGGGTAAGAGGAAAGAGTCACTGTAGTAAAAAGGGATGGAGAAAGAAAGCAACAAAACTGGATGGAGAGGTGGGAAGACACAACTGGACAAGGAGAGAAGCCTTGTCTAGTTGTTACAAAAGGGCTAAATTTCCAAGGAAACAACCCTTCCCAAGCAGCAGTTAATTTTTAGCTTCAAATTCATCACCTCCAGGTGATGTCTACATTACTTGTACCTCATACTAATTATTTTGTTTCCAACGTATTTTTCTATTCTTATTAGAGATCCCAATTCACAGATTTAATTATTTGAAAGAGAAAAAAAAAGATAAATCTGCTTGGATGGCACACAGTCCATCAGAGAAACATTCAGATGTCTTTTTGCTTCTGAATTAAGCTGCCAGTAGACATCCCTAGGAAGGGAAGAAGGGAGGCAAGGTTTTGTTTTTTATTTTTACTTGCAACCAAAAAACTCTTGAGGAGAACACACAGATATACAGACCCATTTTTGCAACCTGCCACTGGTAAGGGAGCTGAACATACAGCAAAGTCACTGGTTTGAGATGGGCAGCTATATAAATTGAATGAATGAATAAATAAAAGTTATGCCAGACAAGGTTATCAGATGGATCTTGTCAAAGGAGAGGACAAGCCAAGATTGGATTTGGTTTTGCTCATGAGAAAGATTGATTTTGGCTTCTTCAGTGTACCACAGTTAATAGAAACAATGAGTTAACTCTCTTATGAATGCAGCCACCATGACAGAAACAACCTAATAAAAACTGCAGCTTTAATTCCCAGCTCAACCAATTAATAAACTAAAGCTCTGGCAGCTCCATAAATTTTCCACTACGGTGAATTACTGTGAAAGTTACACTGGGGGAGATGGGGGGAGGGAACTGATAATGATGTTCACCACCGATGAAAGACACTTCCTCACAGCCATATGGATTCTTCTGCCATAAGACAATGCAAAGGCCTTTGGCTTAGGTGGCTTTAAAAAGACTGTAAACAGGTATTTGTATTGAATGACTTTCTACACTCTTAGATGTAGCTTATTCCACTACTACTTCTGAATTCCAGGAGGAGTGGGAAGACAACAATAATTTCCTGATCTATTGCCATAGTTGGCAGGACACTAGATTAAATTTTTCTCCTCCCCCATTAGGTATTTAATCTAGTAGAGTTCTTATAACTCTTATCAAATGTCAGAACACTCAAGGAAGAATATTAGGCTATCTCTGTCTTAAGTGGCTTTCTTCCTTGTGAATTCAAGTACTTCAGAGACCTTGTTCCATCACTGTCTACACACACATTTATGAGGCATGCTCCAATATGCCCTCTCAGGGGAAGTAGCTAGACTTGAAGAGATTGGGGGGATTCCCTAGTGAGCTGTGCTTCAAAATGCCTGCTGCAAAACATGCCTTTTGTGGTGCTTGTCATTCTCTGATTCCCAAATCCAGCCATGAAGCTAAAAGGAAAATGGTAATTGGTTTGGAAGATGTGAACAGAGAGAGGATTCTTCTCTTACAACAGCTTTGATCTTAACTTTGCACATATCTTATGCAATCCATAGCTGAAGTGAAACATAATCAGATCACACACATTTAAAACTGACATTCTACACAAGATCTGCAAATTACAATGGAAAATATGATTTATAACAAGATTCATAATTACAGAAAAAGATGGGAGAATTTGGTGTTGAAACTTCTGTTTAAGCACTATTGATTTCATATTGGAAAAAAATGAAGACAGCTATGCAATCTTTTCGACATATAATTCCAAATAATAAGTAATATGGAAGTGGGAAAAGCTTCAAATGCAGTAGAAATGTCAATTTCATGTAAGCTCTTGTTAAAAAGAGTTCCATGTTTATGTCTTTTCTTTCCCCCTAGTGGGCGCTGATTGTTTATTTCCAGGGCAGCCATAAACTCCATAGAATATTGATGCTGTAATCTGTACCTCCAGTCTAAAGCAAAAAGTCAATGAATTAAAAGCCTGGTAAGAGAGAAATTCACTTGAGTAGAAAGCGGGGCTTTCAGTTGAATCCATATATTCCTAAACATGGATTCTTATCTGCTAAAGATGATTAGGGTACAATGAAGATACCTCTTTTCTAGCTTTTGCTGATGGGGAGAGCTCTGCTACTATGAAGTCTCCCACTGTATCTGTAGAAAGAAACCACTGTAGCAAGCATAAGACCGTAAAACGGGGCATTCTGGGCAGGGAACAGAATGTCAATCTACTCAATCTAATGACACTGTTTCTCCAAGACATATCTGATTCAGGCCCCCCGGTTATGAAGCTGATAATTAGGGAGCTGATAATCCCCTCCATTAATTTCAGTGAATGGGAAACAACAATAATAAAAAAGTCTGCCAAGCTGAAGCTTAGCAAAACTGCTCCTATGTCAAATCTGTCTCAGGATGGCTAGAAATTTTGAGAATTGTAATCCTAACATATTTGCAGAGCCCCTGGTTTGGAAAAGCTGTTTGGTCTTAGAACTTCCAACTTAAGATGGATCGTGAATATTAAGTGTATTTTTATTAAATGAAACAATTTATAAACTGTAGGTTTTTAGTACAGTATACATCAGAAGCATAATCAAGAACACTGCTGAAGACTCCAGAACAACCCTGAAATCAACTACAGAAATACAGTAGGCATGTGTCAATGGTACCTTGCCAAATACATTTCCTAATACTTGCACTAGCAAGATACAGTGTTGTTGTCTTGTTAAAGTCGATCAAGCAGTAAATTACTTTTTCTCTGAACATACTATTGAAAGATTTACCTAAAGATATTTAACTAAGGCTCATGCTTATTATCTAAATATATAGTAATATTTAGGTGGTAAATCTATGTAATCAAAACCTAGCACTTATATTTAAATATTACAATCATTTCTAAAAAGCTAGCCACATGTAATGACACAATCATTTCTTATTGCTGGTCATTCTACTTTGTATAACTTCCTTTCATGTTCCTCACACACTGTGTGCTAACTGGTGGTGCACTTCGTTTTAAGGAAGTTACAATATATTTGTTTTATTATCATCCAGATGATTTAGTTAAGAGCTTAATAGCTAAGAGATAGTTATCCAAAGTTGGGGAAAAAAATCAACTGCCACATTGATAAGACTCTTAATCAATATGATTTAAAAAAGCATGAATGTTCACAGCACAAATCAATGAATGTTTCTAAATAATAATAAATCTTTTCAGATACACCTTCTACTTTAATTCTTGACTGTATAGAAAGCACAGTAAGAAAGCAACTTGTGTTTTTTGCATCCTACTCATCATACGAGAGAAGCCAGATGGAGTGAAGAATTGCTAAAAAAAAAGCAAAAAATGCACTTTCTGTTTTCAGTTCCATCTTAAAATGCAGTAATTACACTTGGAGAAACCAATTGTTAACTTTTTGGATTTCATGCAGCCGATAGGGGGAAAAAAATGTTATCACGATTTCATTTGACAGATGTATGCAATGACAGTTGCATTGAAGAAGAATGGGAAAGCACCATGTATTTACCAAAAGAAGCAATGCAAACCATTGTACTAGATATGATAGATATGAAATCATTAGCTTGGATTTTGATTTCATGTTTTTAAACTTCTCATATCCCTCCTTTTTGTATAACATATTAACAGTTTGCCCAACGTTGTCAGTGACACACAAAAGGTGTCTGGAAGTGGGAGAAAGGGGGAAGAGGGGAAAAATACAAAATTTGCAAATTAAAAGTTTTAATAATTAACACATAACTACAGGGACCATTTTTGGAGTAAAGATGGAGTTTGATATTTCTTTTTATAATGATACACAACTTTTTAAAAGTGACATTTCTAGAGCAGAAAGAAACGAACTCATTTCCAGCAACTGAAGAAGGATGCTTGCTTACTTCAGCATAGCGAGGAAAGCAGGAGGCTCCACATCTGGGATACGGATTTCATCTTTGTCCTCAGCAAGCTCTCCGTAAAACATTGCGTGGAATACAGAGCTTCCAACGGCTAAGACATACTATTTTTTTAACAAAAGGAAAATATTAGTTCATGCTTTAAAACAAATCCAAACAAAAAACAGATATGCTAGAGTCACATGAGTATTAAAAAGGAGGCCTTGAAGGCAATATAGGTAAGGCAGGTTTTCATTTTTCAAAACTAAGTAGGAGAATGCTGGGTTTTTCTTTTTAATTTTAGGAAATAGTTCTTCAATATATCTATTGCTTTCCTAAGAGAACTTAGGAAATTCATGCTGAGAGCTAAGCAGCTGTAGCATTTTGGAGCAAGCTTGCCCATCTTGTGCCCTCCATGTCTGATGGACTACGATTTTAACTGCCTCTAGTCCCCATTATCAGCTACAATTATTAGAGGTGAAGTCCATCATATAGTATTTAGACAGTGCCTACATGAAGAAGACTTTGAATCAAATCCCCACTCCTGCAGTGACCTTGGGTAAGATACTATCTCAGACTATGTCATAGGATTGTTGTAAGAATTAGAATTGGTTGTGGGGGAAAGGATGGGAGCAATCTGGAAGAACATCAGGATAGTGTCACAAATCACATGCAATATTCTGCAACAGATCTACTACTATTGCAAAAATGTGTTAACTAGAAGGGAAATTATTAGAACTTTTCACCAGGCAAAGATACTTAACAGTATTTCTAATTATACCAGGTCCAGCATTCAAGCCATTTACATGAAGTTAAAGCGGCAAGTGTAGATATTTCCCTCACGCTTCCCATGTCAGATCTGTTACTACAGCTGTTGCTTACTTTGTGTCCTGGTAATCGCTGGGTCCCACCTGGTGGCCCAACCACAAAATGAACATCTGCCATCAAGTCGTTGTTGAACATCACTGCATTTCTACAAACAAAAGCAATATGTTAATTGGGGGTGTTTAGCATCAAGCTTTACCCCCCAACGCATGCAATTCATCTTGCTGGAAGCTCCTTAAAAGAATTTCCTTAAAATCAAGCCAAGAAAATTAACCAGAAAACAATGATAATTAAATAGTCTAAGGTTCAGTGTTTTTAAAAGAATGATACTATTAAAAGAAAAACTTTGGGAAAAACTTTCATCAACGTGAATGTGCCAAACTGTGCAAACATATGAAAGTTAATACACAGAAAATACGTTTTTATGAGTGCAAACTATTATGAGGTTAAAATAGCTTGCATGTGAATGTTTTTCATTACTAGAAGATAAGAACTGTACTGTTGGAAAGGGGGGAAAAAAACCCCTTTTTCAGTTTTAATGCATGATCCTGTGCTAATAAAACATTTCACTGCATACTGCTCCAGAACCTGTAACCTCAAGAAAAAAAGACCCAAACTTCCTTACCTTTCTCGGATGGTGGGATAAAGTCCTTGCCAGTTGGGAGCTGGAATAATATTGTTGTTATTGATATTTTGCTGGTGATACTGCTGGACAGCTGTCGTGTTACTGTTAGCTGGTTTCTTTCGGGGGAAAATATCAGCAGCCATCTTTTTCTTCTTTTTAGTCTTCAAGGTAATGATTTCATAGCACACTGGAGATAATTTGCTGTTGCTGCCGCTGCTGCTGCCGCTGCTGCTGCTACTGCTGCTGCTACTGTTTACCTTCTTCGAGCTTTTCTTGGACCTGTTCTTAACTGTCTCTGGAAGCATCAAGAAGAAGGTGAGACATTTCATGTTCTTTCCCTTGTCATCTACCATGAGTATCCCTGTCTGTGTAAGCAGAGAGCCTTACTTGGTAAACAGAGGGTGCAGAAGGTACAAATAGAGAGAAGCAAAGCTGAGAGATTATGCTTCTTTTTCAGCAGGACAAGGTGACCTTTTCCAGTGTGCTGAATAAGAGATCAGCTTTTTTTTTTAAGTTTGATCCAGGGCTTGATTGGTTAAACATCTCCCCATCATGATTCTCAGTTTTATTTGCTTGCGAGAGCTTTTCCCCCAAACGTCTGGAGGCTGAATCACCTGAAACTGCTATGCTGTGGCAAAGCAAGTAGGAGAGCAAAGACGTGCTGCCTGCTCGTCAGCTGGCTCAACTTGTGTGTTGAATGGATCTGCACACAGGAGGCATTAGAGCCCTGCAGATGGAGCCAGACAAGCAGCATCCTAGCCCAATCGCCGAAGTCACAAATAACAATTGGACTAGCAGCACAGTGACACCTATTGTAGATGTACAGCGCCCAAATATTAAAGAGCCAGCCGTTGCAATTGCACTTCACACTGTTTTAAAAAGTAAGAAGTAATTGCACATGCAAATGCACGTGCATGCTTATGTAAGTGCTAAACTAATGAATGTGACTTAATGCCTGGCAAGTTAGCATAGAGGAAAATCATTTAAGAGAACAGCAGGATTCTATGTTAAAAAACATGAGAAATATTTTCAAGCAGACACAATAAGCCATAGTATTAATGCAGTACTGATTTTTTTCTGCATTTTCCCCATAATTAAAATTGTTAAATGAATTTGGTATCCATGTTAAAGCCAATTAATTTGCAGCATAAAATGGACTGATACAGTTTCAATACTCCTTCTCCAATGTCGTTTGTATTCCAGAGCTTACTGAATAGAGATGAGGTCATCACATTAGTTTTTAACTCACTATGTTTTCTGCTAACAGTCTTTGATAGACATCTCAAATCACTAAGTAGAAGCTAATTAGACGAAATTATGCCAAATATAATTGCATAGCATCATTGAAAAGTATCTACAAGTGTAGACCAAATACAAATAAATCAAATTATATATGCATATTTCAATTGTTTAGAGAAAAAAAATTCATGTACATGCAAATAGTTCATATTTTTGAACTAAAATAATTATAGTTTTATTGGAATTTGATTGCTAGTCCAGAACCCAGAGAGAAGCAGTAAGGAAAGTATATAACCACTGAAACAAATTACAGGATCTGCATAGATGGCCTACACTTTTAATCACATTGCTTCCCTCAAAAGATACCAGGTTAACATGGCAAGATTTGAACTGCAGAAAGAGCTACTGTGAGTATTCAAGCAGAGGCAGAAGCACAGCACCTCCACATATAACAGGATGTCATACAATAAGATAAGATGAAGCCATGTGGCTAAATTAAGGACAGGCTCTGTTCCTGCAACCAGAACGATGAGTCCTAGACACAGGAGTTGAATCCTCATTGCAGCATATGTTTCATCATATTCTAGTTTCTCCCTGTAATGTATCACTGAATGAGGGAGGCACACAGAAAGATAACACTATTATTAAATAGTAAGCTTTGCAGTATGGCAGTGAAATCTAGAAGAGGGGAAAAGTAGGTGGAGGAATGCCATTTCCTCAAAGCAGCCCTTTGGCTTCCATAATGGCTAGCTGCCCCACCCTTAGCATCTTAATGCTACAGTACTTATTTACGTAAGTACAATGCCCTACATTTCAAATATGAACCTGTATCATGTGCTTGGACAATCCCATAGGCCATCTTGGCCATTAGCTGTAACTACATTATGGTTTTGCTAGTATATTGAATATTCAAGATCGTAATGATCTACCTTGATACATGGTGGTCAACGAAATATAAAATGTCATACAGATTAATGGTAAAAAGTAGCACTTGTTTGACAGATTTGATGCCAAGCAACAGGGAAAGGTGTTTTGTCTGTTACTGCTGTGGTGCTTTTTAATATGTGTTTCATTAGTCATTTCAAGAATATAAATTAGAGACGAAAAACAAGGACATAAAGCATCATTACTTATTTGTAGATTGCAAATGCAATTATCTATAATCCTATAGATCCACATAGTATTAGAATGCAAAGCTACCTTCCTGCTAGAGCAGAAAAGTACAGAATATGCACTTTTAATGAATGTGTTGTAGTATGGGATGTCTATTTTCATTAATGGACTCCCCTAACTATAAAGTTCAAGATTTTGGACAATATGCCTACACTCTTAAAAGATTAGCTGTATTATGAGAGAGCAATAACGACATTCACACTATTGGGAATATTCTTCACAAATTTTGGGAAGGTATGTAAATTAGTTATTGTATATGCGTATATGTTATACCTATATTTAGATGGGTCCAAAAGCATTTACATTTAATTGTGTGTATTTAAAATTATTGTGTACTATATGTGTATTAGTAATGGAAGTTATAATTTTGGAGGCTTCTATCTGCAGTTCTAGCCACAAAAACTTATACTATATTTATAACGGGATAGATTGGACAGATTTTGTTAGCACATACAATGGATATCACTATCCAATCCACAAATATAAAATGTTCATTTATTAAATTAAATCCTTTTTTGGAGTGATTGATAGAATATTGAAAAAATGTGTATCTCACATGGTTAAATATACAAATAGTGAATGGAACTGCAATATGAATCTCTCTTCTAAACTGAAACTTAACCATGCCAAGATAAGACGTTCTTCCAGTCAGCAGAGTAACCAAACTAGAAATAGTGGTGGATATTCCCTTTGAGAATTTGGATTTTTCATTTGGGATTCTCTTGGATTCAGCTTTGATGTTCAGGTGATACCCAACATCAGAAGTTCTTTGGTCATTACATATCTAGGGAGGGCAGATCTTGCTATGGTAACACGTGTACAAGCTACATTACACACACTACATTGGTTCATTTTAAAATTCAGTTCAATGTGTTTTATTGATTGGAGTGGGGTATCAGGAAGATGTCAGTAACCTATCTTTTTCCAGGCCCAATTCAAAGTGCTAGTTATGACCTTTGAAACCTCAGAGTTTAAGATGAAGGACTTTGAAAGATCGCTTTCTCACATATGGCCCTGCCAAATATTAAGATGACTTCACACTGATTACAAGGCCACATATTGCTACAAAAATGAAAAGGGCTTTTTGTTGTTGCTGTCAAACTCTATAATTCCATATCTGAAGAGGTTTGCCCTTGCTTTTTTGAATTTCTGCCATCACAGCCTTATGACCTTTCTGTTCAGGAAAGTTTTTTTTTTTTTTTGAAGTGGCCTTCCCCAGTCTGTTGAACTGTAAGTTCTAGATGTTCTTATCAGCATTGCCAATAATAAGATGCTGAAAGTCATAGTATAGCAACATTTGAAAATCCAGTTTTCCCAACCCTGTTTTAGACATTCAGTGGTATCAACCCCCAGAATCCCACAGCCAGCATGGCTGCTGATAGGAATTTTGAAAGTTGTAGTTGACATACCTAGAAGGTACGCTCGTTGGAGAGGGCTGGTTTATGCTATAAGTTAGTTAAATATTAAAAAAAAAAAAAAACCAGTAGGATAAGAACAGATAATGATGGCTAAATGGAAACTATGATATTTTTGTAGCTGAATCAGTTTCTAATTGTTATTGTTTGGCTGAATTATGGATTTTAAAATGATTTTCCTTCCACTGCCCTTGTTATTACATCATTTCTGTTGCTAGTCACTTTGAACTACAAATGAAAAAGTAGGATATAAGTTTTTTGACAAATGGATAATGATATGTTGTTAGATCAATGGTCATTCTAAGCCAGCAGTGATAGGAAATTGAAAATCTCCACCAAATGCATTTTTCACTGGAACTCTTTCTGGTTTTAGAAGCATACTTCTTTGTTTAATAAAAGTATAGGAAGCATGAAAATACATATTTAATAAATAATCATAAATGTAATTTTTTTCAGGTGACCATCTTTGAGAATTAATAGATACCCAAACATGTTAAAATTAGTATGTTAACCATTTATAACATAAATGAAATTAAATCATGCCTAAAGGTATTTACTGATATTTCACTGAAAATAATTTTAAAATAGATTTGTTTTTCCATGAATATAATATTTAAGATTCACTACTTTATTGATCCTCTGTTTTTTCAATCATTTAACTTCTCCTATTTTAAGCTTTCAGAATTTTCAACTTATATATTATGCACATTAAAAAGATGATATACTTTCTAAAAGGTTTTGCATATTAGCTGTAAGATAAATCAGGTTTCTACTGATTTTGCTAAGGGGAAGTTTTCCCCAAATCAAACATTATTTAAAACATAAGCCACTGTAGCTCGATGTTATTAATATGAGTTGCAATCATTCTCAGATTTTGTTGTTGTTAAAGGTTTTCCTCATCTCCACAATTCAGCCAATTTTTCCTGCAATCACAAAATAGCACTAAAAAGCCAGCCTTCTCCAATCAATAATTTCTTGAAGTGTTCCTACTCTCATATGTCCCCAGCTAGCATTTTTTCCCCATATTTTTGTATTTCAGTCTGACATCTGAAATAACCTCAGCATATATGGTAGGTTATAGTTCCCTCTATTCATCCTAACTCCACCTTTGTTCTGTATTGGTTCCCACACTGTTCCCTTTCTTCTAACCAGGTCCATGCTTCTACTAGTAATCGTCTGGGCTGCCTCCTTTAGAAATATCCATGTCACACTTGGAAAACTTGAGTGTCACAAAGATGGAACTTTCAGAATTGAAACTGCTTGTAGACTAATTAGCTTACAATCATTCTGTTCCACAAGGCAGCACCAACTGGAATAGAATAATATTTTTAAGTCTCATTACTATGCTGCATTATTCTACCAGAATAAGAATACTTATCTTCCTATTGTGTATTTGACAAAATTGCCAGGAAACATTTATAGTGCTAGTTATGCATAATTTGTTTCTTGACAACACAATTAAGGGAAAAGACAACTATTAATTTCAGAAACAAATACTGGAACAAACAGATTCAGCCCTATATAACTCAAGAGTTATT